ACAAAGGCGATGGGGGGTGGGGGGGGGGGGGGGGGGAGGAGAGAAGAGGAGGGGGGAGTGACTTGCCATTGACCCAGCTTACCCAAGTACAATCCAGTTCCCGACTCCCAGCCTAAATAAGACACTCCCCCAGACTCCAGTAACTGAGCCTCCATAACCACTGGACTCCACTCCCCTCTCCTCCCAGAGCTGACATGGAACCCAGGAGTCCTGGCTCCCTGCCCTGTGTTCTAACCTTGTAAGCCTCAACACCCAGTACAGCCTGCAGCGTGTTCATCCCTGTTCCCTTCTCCGAATCCCCTGCTAGAAGCCACCAAAGAAGAGTCCAGAGCCCACAGCTTAGGCAAGGGGCCAGCACCCCAACCCTGGACAGCTGACACCCCAAACACCTCCAATCCAGGCCCTCACCCACTCCACCTGCCCCCGTGGGTCTCACCTTCACTGCAGAACTTGCCCTGGAAGCCAGTCATGCTGCAGTCGCACTGCACCTCACCGTTCAGCACACTGCAGAGCCCACCGTGGGCGCAGGGGTTCTGCTTGGTGCACAGGTACTCAGTATCACTGCGGATGCCCTGGCTGCCCAGCAGGGCCGGCGGCATGTCGCCCACCTTGAGGTTGGCCACCAGCCCCTTGAACGGCACCTCATACTTCACAGTGCTCAGGGTGAGGGCTGAGAGGCGCACGTCGGGTGGGATCCCCCCCACAAAGAGGTCGCTCTCCACCGCCATGTCCCGCCGCTTGGACTTGACCTCGGCCACCTTGGCCTCGCCATCCACCACGAGCATGGTCTCCCGGTAGTTACGGGTCAGAAGCACCATGTGCCAGCGGTCGTCGTCCACAGGCGTCTCCAAATGCAAATTGGCAGGCTCGGCACAGGAGATGGTGAAGCGCAGGCGCAGGCGCCCCTCAGCGATCATGAGCTCCAGGAAGTCGCAGTTCCCCCCATCATCCAGGTACAGCACCAGCGCCCACGAGACATTAGTCTTCAGGCTGAAGCTCAGCTCCCCCAAGGAGCTGGCATCCCAGCGGGCATAGCGGGCCCACTGCCCCGTGGCACCACCAAACTCCAGCGCTGCCCCGCCCGCCCCTGGGCCCAGCAGAGCACCCATCAGCAACACCAAAGGCATCAGGGCACCCAGTCTGGCCATGGCGCCCAGTTGCATCTGTCCCTGCCCCCCCCTCAAGGCAAATGCTGGGCGCCGCCCCCCCCCAACACCACTGCCTTAGATCCTCATGGGGGGGGCAGGCAGCTTGATGCAGGGAGGGAGGGGCAGGAGGGATTGAGATGCAGTGGCTTCCTCGGAGGCGGGGAGCAGGTGGCGATGAGAGGGGGTTCCACTCAGAGAGAAGGTGGGGCACTTTCACTGCCACTTAGTGACACGGGGCAAAAGGACACCAGGATCCAAATATCCAGAATTCAGAGAGAACAAATCCAGACCCCTGAAAAGTCAACCCCCTCCCCCCACCCAGCCTCTGCCAATCACAGGCTCCAGGTCCGGCTCCAGCAGGTTACAGCATCCTCCTCCAGCAGGGTGCAGAACCAGCCAGGCCCACAGGCAGAGCCCAGTCTGGCAGACAGAGGGTGCTTGGTCCCGCTCCGGCGGCTCGTCACAGGAGGGCAGAGCTGCAGGAAGATAGAGGAGATGTGAGGCCAGGCTATGTGCACCATGCAGCCTGCTCTGACCCATTAGACCCCACCCTCCCAGACCTGGGGGCTAAACCCACAATAGCCACAGGGCTAGCAACTCTCCCCAGAAATGCTCCATCTCATAGTAGTTCCAGCCCATAACCTCCTCTGATTGGCTGCTCTTCCCCACTTTCTCCGCCTCCTAGTGGAGGGGGGCCAATCACAGCTGTTACAGGAGGCCAAGTTGCCCATGCACATCTCTCCCCCCCCCCCTCCGTCCAGTCCCATGGAACAAGGCTTTTGGGTAGGGCAGGGGAAGGGGAAGCAGGCCAGGCCATGCTCACAGGGAGGACGGGGGAAAATGAGGGAGTAGGCCTTACCATTCTTATAGTGAGGATGAAAGAGGTGGGAGCAGGCCGTACCATTCTCACAGGGAGGATGGGGGGGGAAAGAGAGGTGGGAGTAGGCAATGCCTTTCTCACTGTAATGATGAGAATGAGAGAGGGCAAAAGCAGACCATACCATTCTCACAGCAAGGATAAGGGGAAGAGGAGGGAGCAGGACATACCATTCTCACAGCAAGGAGGGGAGATGGGGAGGAGGGAGCAGGCCATACCATTCTCACAGCAAGAATGGGGGAAAAGAGAGAGGCAGGAGCAGGTCACACTATTCTCACAACAGGGAGGGGGGAAAGAGAGGCAGAAGCAGTCTGTACCATTCTCTCCATGAGGAAGAGGGTGAAGAGGTGGGAGCAGTCATACTATTCTCAGAGCCAGGAGGGTGATGAAGAGGTGGGAGCAGGTCATACTATACTGGGAGGGGAGAGAGAGGTGAGAGCAGGCCGTACCATTTTCACACCAATGATGGGTAGGAAGGAAGGAGTCCACTTCCTGCTATTCTCACAGTGAAGATGTGTGGGGAGAGAGGTGGGAGCAGGCCATACCATTCTCTCAGAAAGGAGGGGCATGAAGAGGTGGGAGCAGATCATGCTATTCTTACAGGGGGAGAAAGTGAGTCAGAGAGAGAGGTGGGAGCAAGCCACAACAGCCTCACAGGGAGGATTGTGGGGAGGATGGAGCAAGTCATATTATTCTCACAGAGAAGATGGGAGGGAGAGTGGGGAGCAGACATACCATTCTCACAGCAATGGGGGGGAGAGGTGGGAGCAGGCTATACCATTTTCAAAGTGAGGCAGGGGAAAAGAGCAAGTCATACCATTCTCAAAGCAAGGATGGGGGGGGACGTAGAACAGTACATACCACTCTCACAGGGACAGATGCTGCTCCCTCCTCCCTTCAGTATACTCCCTGCTCCTCCCCCCTCCCTCCAACACCAGAGTAGGGAGGGGTGAAGAGCCTTTGAACTTGTTCTGACATCTGAGCCTAGTGCCCTCCCCCTCGAACTGCTCTACCAGCCACACACTCCTGGGTTATTTGCACAGAGCCCCAGCCCCCAGAATAGTTCTAGGGGAAAATGACCAGAACAGGTGTCCTGGATGCCAGCATCCTGGGATTAGGGCAGCTCCTGCCACCCTTCCCCCACACATTGGTTTATTTGTGCAGAGACAATTCCAGCCCTACCCATGCACAGACCATTGCCCATTACCATGTTACTGATCAGACCGTCCCTCCCTCTGGCTTATTTGCACAGGAACTCTCTCAGCAGAGGATTGGGCCATAAGCCATTTGCAGCCTTTCCCCCTTCTCGACAATCTGCATCTCATCACCATGCTGCCAGTCAGGCATTATCATAACCCACTTACCACTGGCAGAGGGAGGCAGGGCAAGAGGTGGAAGAAAGAAGAAAGAGATGGTGGGGCAAAGAGGAACAGAAAGTAGGTCTGACTGGGGGCAGCAAGGGCTGTATGGGCCAAAGGGTCTGATCTGGAGATGGGGCAGGGTATACTAGACTGGATGGTCCCATGGGTCTGATCGAATGTGGTAGGAGAAAGGGAGATACTGGTAAGGGCCCTCCATTGGTCAATTCAGTTGCCCCATCCGGCTACCATGGAAACCAACCCTCATTAACACCCCATCACCCCCAAAAATCTATTAAAAGAACAAATGTAAATAGGGTGGGGGAAGGGTGGTTTCCACAGTAACACGGCACCGGGGATATGGCATCATGCAAATGAGGTACGGCAGGTTATTTATAACTGTGCCTCGTCTGTGCCCCTCATTGGGTAATGGGGGCCATTAGCATGCACTGCATAATTAGCCAATCACATTAAATGCTGCACCTGTGCGAGGGGAGGCACTGATTGACGCCTGAGCAGTGTGCTGGGGGGCTGGGCTCTGAGCCCCATGAGTCTCCTTCCTCAGTTTTTTCATGCTGAACCTCCTCCCTCTACTTCATACCCCCCAATCATCTGCTCCATTGCACACCCCCATTGTACCTCTACCCTGTACATTCTCCCCCCCACCACTCCCCCTTAGCTCCCACCACTGCACCTCTTCCCATTACCATCCTACCCCCTCCCTTCCCAGCCCCCTCCCTGCCCATTTACCATTCCCACCTCCTTTGTCTATTTTAGAGGAGGAAATTAATTAACTATTGATTCCCACTGCCCAGAGTGATGGGGTCACATTCCCACCAGCCAGGAAGACCGAGGGGAGGAGGGAGGAGCCACAGGAAGCTGGAAGCGGAGAAAGCCAAAGGGGATGGTGGGGTCCCAATGCATCTCATGCTTTGGGGCAATGAAGTCACAAAAACAAGATGGGGAAGAATGAACATTGGGGCTGGTTTTACACAATGAACTAGGGGGAGGGGCAGGTGGCCTCAGTTCTATCTTCAGCTCTGAGAGGGGAGTGGGATTCCTGGGTTAGAGCAAGGGGGGCTGGGAGTTAAGTTCCCTGTAAGCTGCATGGCCGAACAACAATCTATTAAGTGCACAGGTGCTCAGGGAATGTGCCTGTCCTGGACCTAGCATTACTGAGGGAGGGGCACACCTTCCTCAGCCCCAACCCAGCCCCAGACCTGCTGTGGCAGGAAGAGGCACCTCTCCTCCAATGGTCCCTCTCCCTTTTTCCATTCATGTGTGGAATAAATTTTGTTACATGCCTTGGTGCACATATGGTTGTGCACTATCAGTAGAAGCACATGCTGCCGGCTATGGTGGGCTGTGGGCACTCTGCTAATCAGCTGAGCAGCATTTGAATCTCTTCTAGGTGGCTACCCAAGTGCTCACCTTACAGGGAACACCGGCTGGAGGTCCAGTGGGCAGGGAGAAGGGAGGAATTACAACTCCTAGGTTTAGGGAGGAGTCTGCAACAGATCTGAGTCCAGTGCCCTAACCACAAAGGCCTCCTTCCAATCAGTTCCTCTCAGGAAATACGTGAGAAACATAACTAGGAACCATGCCATGAAGCTTGGATTGGACTATATTCCTGATCCCAAACTGGGGTCAAGAGCAGTCTGGCCTTGATTCTGTTTAACGCACATTGAATCAAGGGGGCCCTTCCCTGCACACCCAACCCTAGGCACGCAGATCAAAACAAGACTAGTGCCAGCAGCAGCACCCAATATATTTTGGCTAAAAACCCAACCAACCATAGTGTAACCAGCTTTCAGTGCTGCATTATTCACCTGCAGAACTCCCTGCTACAAGAAAATGATCAAACAATTTTCATTTTTCCCCTCTGGATCACAGTAACCTGGGTGTCTAGCCATAGCACAACAAGCAGAATATGCTGAGCCAGGAACAGCCACTACTTAAATCCTGGGGGGTGAATAGTAAGAAGAGCAGATGTGTTGTTATTATTTGTATTGATGTCAGCTGAGATCAGAGCCTGGACATGTTACATGTTGCACAGATTGAGACCAGGTCCCCACTGCACCATGTAGCATGTCCAGAGGCTGTGCAGACACACATTGAAAAACAGTCCCCACTCCAGCTCACAATCTAAACAGACAAAAGAGGAAGGGCCTTTCCCAAGCTCAATGACAAAGTCAGGACTAGAACCCAGAAGTCCTGGCTCCCATCCTAGCCCCTTAGCCCCTGCAATCCATCCTTCTGTTTGGATGTACTGTGCTTTGGCCTCGAGGTGTCAAGAGCCCAAGGATGGTTGAGACAAAATCATGTGGCAGGAAGTTCCACAGGTGAGCAGCACTGCAGCAAGTGTAGAGGAGATGAATGATGTCCTTTGTGGGGATCCTGCAAATCCAGGACTGGGTCCCGGAGCTACTCTGCTATGCCAGTTCACATCCTCACGAATCTGCTAGGAGAGGCATGAGGCTCTACCCCCTTCCATCCTCAGAATCACAGTTCCTGCGTGGTACGGCAGCCCCGGGGTGTCACTTCAGATTAAGCATGTCGCCGAGTGCGTGCAGACAAGTACGGATGGCCCTGTGCTCATGTGCTCAGCTCTGCCAGCCCCGCAGGCTCTGCCAGCCAGGCTCTGTGCTGGACAGCCAGGCCAGTGCAGAGAGTTCAGGGGACACAACGTCCTTTGGATCCCACAGGCAGGGAGCTCTCTCCCTCCCCACATCCTTGTTCCTGAGCCAGGTCACAGGGCAGCACACTGCAAGAAGGGATGCCGCTGCTCAGCATGGTGTGCAAGGAGGCACACAGCTCTGGAGCACAAGTGACTGTGAGCAGGGCCAGTCTTGTGCAAGCACACATGCATGGCCTCCAGAAGTGCCAGGGGAGTGTGCAAAGGTGCATGCACATGCAGTCAGTTTGCCTCATGCAAGGACACACGCGTGAGTGCACATAGACACAGCTGATGTAAGTCCACACACAGAGGTGCACCCACAGCCACATCACGCCGTGCAAGGACACACACTCGTATGCAAGTGCCCATGCCCAGAGCCTCATGTGAGCCTACGTGCCAGTCCCCCTGCGTCCCTACTGCCCTGTGCAAGGACACATACATACCACATGGCCGGGACCTTGGGCAAACACACACATGCACCAAAACTGCAGTCCCCCATCACATCCAGCTGCACATACACATACACTCACCACCAGGACATGCATGCCATAGGCAGGCAGATCCCTCACAGTGGGGAGCACACCGGCAGACTCCATCCAGTCCCATGCTACCTAGGCACATGCACACAGGAAACACCAGGGCCTAGGGGGAGGGCACTGAGCCTCAGGACTCCTGGGATCCATTCTCAGCTCTGAGACATCAGTGGGGGCTAGTGGTTAGAGCAAGGGACTGGGACTCAAACTCCAGGATTCTACCCCTGGTATATCCACTCGCTTTCCCTTCCCTATGACTCAGTTCCCCCCTGCTTGCCCCCACCCAACAACAAGGTCTAGGTGCTTAGCACTAGCTAACACTGGAATGACCCAGCCTCCCAGTATCTGGGCCAGTTTATTTACCATGCCCTCCTGGCTTGCTGGAAGGGGGTTAAAGAGCAGGCTGCGCAACATGGACACAGTGAGTGGCCTTCACACCACACATTTAGCAGGCAGCTCTTAGTAAAAGCTGCTGTCATGCCAGCCCAATGCCACAACCTCCATCAGCTTCCACCATAGGGGGCCAGAACCCACACTAAGGAGCAGAGGCGGCCCTAGACTAGCTGCCAGCAACTGGCGCCCTAGGCAAACCATGGAATCGGTGTCCCCACCTCCAAACCCCTCAATGATATTGCGCCACCATTTGGCGCCCCATTTAGCTTGGCGCCCTAGGCAACCGTCTAGTTCGCCTATATGGACGGGGCGCCCTTGCTAAGGAGCATACGGCACAGGGCTATCCCCAGCCCAGAGCAGCTCATTCCCTGCTCCCCTCCCAGAGCTGGCATGGAATCCAGGAGTCCTGTGCAGAGCAAAGGAATCACTTTAACACGGCTGCATCCAA